CCATAATTCCCACCGAGGAACTGTAAACCTCAAAGAAATAAACCATAATTCCCACCGAGGAACTGTAAACCTCAAAGAAATAAACCGTGACTTATTTTCGGAAAGTAACTTTTATTTTTGTCTACTTAATGTTTCAGAGTATTAGCTTTATCAGGAGAGCATAAAAACTTTTCAGTAAAGTATTACTAACAAGTAGGCTTGCAACAAAACATACAAGAACAAAGCAGCTCTAGTCCAACAATACCCATAACATTACAACAACTGTATAATAAAAGCTTGAGAAACATAGTTTTTACTTTCAACAGAGGTTAAATACATTCAAAAAAGGTATTCTTAAATTAAAGTTTGAAATACACAGACATGCGTACACACGTCTATACAAATCGAGCAGCATCCACACAATTGTATATACCATTGTAAAACAGTAACTAATGCTTTTTGTACTTAACCTCAAACAGTGCAAGATAATATCTTTTGAGCCACATGTTTGTGAAATATGTCGCAGACTTCAACTTGAAAGTATGTCTGTTAAAACCATGAAAGAAAGAATAGGATATATTAACACTCATGTTTGTTAAATCTCGTGTAGTATATAACTTACTAATACATAATTTAATTCCCACATATAGGTAGCTATTGATAAGAGACGGTCAGAACCTCCTCTTCGAGAACAGAAATACAACATAAATCATTGGCTGATTCAGGAAGCAGAAATCAGACGCATTAGAGAAAAAAATGAAAGAGAAAAGCATAGAACACCAAGTATCCATCAGGATGTACACATTAAACAAACTGCACCTTTTCAGAATGGAAACCAAGCTGTAATCAGAACAAACAAAAATCTCCCAAGGCCCACATCAATGCCACCCCCAACACCCCCTAAACCTTCTCATATAGTTGGTAAAGTTTCATTAGACCAGAACTTGGAAGATCTGTTGAAGTTTCAACCATCAGGACAAGTCAGGCGCTTCTCCCAGGGCAGCCCGAACACAAATGGTGGACACAATTGGATCGGTGGGTTTACTCAGACTGCTGGTAGAGATCTTCCCAAACAGCAAGACCCCATGCTTTCTGTTAGTGGGAGAAAACGGTGTTGCAGTTGTGGCAACGAATTAGGTAAGTCATTAGCTTGCTTATTATATGACTTATTGCAAAATTCCTTATTTTGTAATGTATTTTTGTGTAAAACCAAGACAGTCTGAAAACGTTACTAAAGTCCCTTACTGTGTGTTTAGTTTTTGTTTAGATATCTGTTAATATATTACAAAGCAATAATAGATAATTTTTTCCTCTATGTTTATTTACGAATGGATCATGTTCTGTTATGTAAATTGAGCACTGTCATTCCAAACATGAAGTTATTTTACCAAGAAAAGGAAAGGCTATATATAGATATCTCTAATACTATTAGTTAAATTAATTGTTAATAGTGATTAAATCAATACTATAAAACAATAATGAACTTAATATGAAATAAACATTACAATAGAATTGCCATTGTTGGTCCTAGTTGTCAAGTTGATGTCATAGCAAATGTTGCCTATGGTAATAGCACCCAGATGTATTGGAGATATCCCATCTATCACACAACAAAAAAAACTAATCATGGCAGGAATTTAGTTTGATGGAAGAGAAAACAACGTGATAGTTGCCTGCTTTTCCCAACAGGGGGTGTTCAGGAATAGTTGTTCTCCTTCAACCCCGCGTGTGAGAATAATTAGCTGTAGTGACTATAATCACGTTTAGAAACATTGATGGGGAATTTATGAGAGAAAGCTGTGAAGAAGGTCGGAGAAGGCAAGGTGAAGGTCTTTTCCAATGGTTGTTGGTGATGAGCAGAGATGTTGTGGCTGTTGATGATGTGTAGAGGTGAAGAGCCGAGACGAGACAGAGAGATCCAAACATGCATTCGAAGAAATAACTTTAAATTGTATTTTCTATTAATAAGACTTGGAATTATTCTAATATTAGTTTGGAACATTCTGAATTTAGGAACTAATTTCATTTTTAAATAAACTTTATAGAATCAGATTTTATAGAAAGGAATTGGATTGGAGGCCCTTTTCAGGGGGGCAAGAACCATACAGTCCAATGCCCAGGTGAATTTTGTTGTAGGGAGAAACTGGAGTGCCCAGAGAAAACGCACTTTCACAGGACAGACATTGAATAATCTATCTGTCCTGTGCCCTGGCTCTAAAAGAAAGCGTGATGGATAATAGTAACAACGTGACATAGTGTTCAACCTTTTGTGTGTGTGTGTTTTATTATTTGTTTTTTTGTTCGCAAAACAGATTCTTTGGCGAAGTATGTTTGGTAAAGATGGTTGTAAGTCCATGTAGTGCAGCTGTCAATATATTTCTCTTTTCTGTTTTTTGTAATATATGAAAGCTAGTTCAGTTAGTCTATTTTTAAAGTGTGTAGGTTGCTGATTTTATGTATATAATTTACTGGGGTAAATTTTGGAAGCCTTAGGGCTAATCTTATTGCACTGTTTTGTTGTATTTGTAGTTTTTTAAGGTTATTTTCTGACACATTATAGGTTATCTGACAGCCATATTCTATAAGTGGGTGTACAAACATTTTGTATATTTTTAGGGATGTTGAGGGTGTGCAGCTTGTATGCTTGCCTGAAATGAGCTTTATGTAGTTGATATGTTTGCGAATCGAGGCGTGTATGTTCTGAATATGTTTGTTCCGTGTTAGATGGTTGTCAAAGGTAATAACGAGAAGTTTGATGTTGTTACTCATTTTTATTTGTGTCTCACAACTTAAGTTTGATTTTTTTAAGAGCTTTCATATGTTTGCATAGTTTTTCAAAAAGGCTGTTGCTTGTGTTTTTGTTGGATTTAGTATCACTCACCATTTTTGACACTATTTAAGAATTAAATTCATTGATTTTTGGATGTGGGTGGTTGCTATGAGTGGGATTCTAGATATACACCACAGACTGCTATTTAGTCAGCATATTGAGAGTGATATGTATATCTTATGTTGGGGAATGGGATGTCGTTAACAAATATAGGAGTTCTTCCTAGTGAGTGGTTCCTTCGTCGGGGGTGGGGGGGGGGGTTCAGTAGGTGTGTTCTTGCCTGGGTACGCCTCATATTAATGCATTTTCGAACCCATTGGAATAACAAACTTCCTTCCTTTTGATCTCCTGTCCTGCATTCCACAGCTCTGGAGGTAGATGCATTCAGTTAGGATTGTAAAGGCCTTCATCTCTCTCTCTCTCTCTCTGCTTACCCTCCAATCAGACTCCTCTACAGGGTTCTGTCTCTCATACAGAGCAATCCTTGCTGTATATTGCTGGTTGCTCCATATTGGCCTACTCAATCGTGGTTTCCCATACTTTAGCCCTTAGTGGAACAGCAACCCCTTTCCTTACCCCAATCCAGGTTTCTACTCTAGCAACCTCAATTGGACATGTTTCATCCAGAGTCGCCAAACTTCGTCTTCACATGAGGCTTTTGCCTGGTCAATTGGCTCCTCTCAGGACTCATTACCCATATAGTTTCTTTGCTTACCCAATCCATATGTTCTTCCTCACTGTCCGTGTATCAGCTTCGAAGGTCTACCATTTGCCTGGGATTTTGTCCTTCTCATCATTCAGTTTCTCACATGTCTAGGTTCTTTAACTGGTTATTTGATCAAGGTTTGTCTTTGTCTACTGTTTCTAGTTATCATGCTGCTCTGTCCCACACTTTTCACTTCTCCCATTTTCATAGATCCTTCTTCTCCTTTGTTATTTCTATTCTTTTCCATTCCTTTCGTAGTGATATGAATGTCAGAAGCTATGGTTTGTTCCCGTAGAGGTTTTTTTTCAATGTAAGAATTTTTCTTGCTTTTAAAGAGCAGTTTCAAAATACATTAGAAATATCTGGAGCAAACATCACCCGAGCAGCCCAAAAGTCATTTCTCATTCATCAGATTTCTTTGTTTTTACCTTCTTTTTATAGCTTTTGCCAATGGTTCTTGATCAGCCTTCATACATTTCCAAAGCTATTTTGATCTTAATTGTTTAGAAATTATTTTTCTTTTCTGTTGATTTTTTAAAACATGAAGCTATTATAAAAGAAGCATTTTCTTTTTGCTTCTTTAATTGATCTAAGCAAAAATCAATAACACTTCTTCACAATGACATGGCCAGGTGGTTAGGGCGCTCTGCTCGCAATCTGCGGGTCGCGGATTCTCATCCCCGTCACACCAAGCATGCTCGCCCTTTCAGCCATGGGGGCATTATAAATTGACAGCCCATCCCACTATTCATTGGTGAAAGAGTAGCCCAAGAGTTGACGGTGAGTGGTGATGACTAGCTGCCTTCCCTCTAGCCTTACACTGCTAAATTAGGGACGGCTTGTGCAGATAGCCCTCGTGTACCTTTGCATGAAATTCATAACAAACAAACAACACAATGACATTTTACAAAAAGAATTTGCAAAAGCAAGGAAACATATTTTAAAGTTCTCAAAAATTATAACAGACAAATAAAAGGCTATGAGCTACATCTGCAAATAAAGTATAGGATATGAGATTAAAGAAACATCTCAGACTTTTTTTGGGTGAATGTGAGATGGGAGATAAGATTGGGTGTAAGCTTACTCCCAGACTCTGTAATTGATAACATAAATGACCTAGGTTAACCCTGAGAACTAGAACTGAGAGTGTGCCATTTAATTATTCATAATTTTATCAAATGAAGCAGTTGTAGTAAGGATAATTGTAGCAGTTGTTTAACTGTGCATGTTACTTACTCTTAGGACGAGGAGCAGCTATGATAATAGAATCCCTCCAGTTGTTCTACCACATCCAGTGTTTTTGCTGTAGCGTGTGCCAGACCCAGCTGGGGAACGGATCATGTGGCACGGACGTTAGAGTGAGGAACAACAAACTTCACTGTCAGAATTGTTACAGCAATGATGATGGTATGGAAGTCATTTTGAGTTGATCTATTAATAATAGCCAAGGATAAGCCAGAAAAGCTAAAAATTTCATCTAAATCCGTCCATTGATTGATGCTATAATTAACTAAACTGTAGAGAAGAATGGTTTTACTAAATGCACAACAGAAATATAAATCTTTGATTGTTTAACATTTATGTAACTTTCACTAATATTTACATTGTAGTATTTTTATGGAAAATGACTTGTATTCTTTGAAAATAGTAAGATGAGTATTTTACCATTTTTACTATTTCTGTGTTTTTACACTTTGTCATGAACCTTATATTTATCACATGCTTATCATATAATTTAACATACAAGGTAATTCTTTGAAAACTGTAAATTGGTTATTTTTACCATAAACGAACTTTTACACTTTGTCACAAACCTTGAATTTACTGTATAATCTAACATAAAAGGTAAGCTAAAGATTCAGATTTCTGTAGATGCTTTCAATAAATCACTTAATTAATTATCTTTTTAATTTTTATTTATAAGATATAAAAGAATAAAATATCGTCTGTATTTATGAGAACATTTGGTTAAAGTTAAAAATTCTGATTTTTTTGTTTCGTAATACCATATAATATGTATATACAGGGTGATTATAAAGAAAGTTTCACAGTTCATTGCATCATATCTCACAAACGGTAGGACATAGGAAGGTGAAGTTGGATCATAGCCATGTTAAAGGTGTCATGCAAATATCATAGTTGCCATATTTTGCCACCAGGGATGCTACTACAACCTAATGTCTGATCAGTTGTTTTCCTCAAGCATCCAGAATGCATTGCAACCATGTGACAACAGACATTACAGTAACAATATGTATCTTAAGTGGTTCACTGGCCACTTCCTGGGCAAGTGGATCCTTGTGACCTGGAATTGTGGGAAGCTTTCCATGAATGACTTTAGCTGTCCCCATAACAAGAAATCGGCTGGTATTAAATCCAATGAACGAGTTGGCTGTTTATAAGGAAAGTGATGAGCATTGCATGGTATCATGAAACATTTACAGTGTAGGTTTGTCATCCATATGCTGATGGTATTTCACATAGTATAGTCCAGTAATAAAGTCAGCTGTAAAATTACACTGTCACCTGAACATCATGGATGTGTGCAGGAAGGGTTACACGTGGATTAGTTTTCAACTAGATAATGCAGTTGCACGTGTTGACACTTCCAGAATGGGTGAAGTGTGCTTCATCAGTCCATAAGATATTGGCAAACCATTTATCATGGACTTCTAGTCTTGCCAAGATCTGCAAAGCAAAACAATACATCGGGTTAAATTAATATTTTTTTGATGCTTTAACACGATGACGCTTGCAAGGCAACATTCCCAAAGCTGACTGAAGAGCCTTATAAGCAGTTTAAATTGGCAAATCCAGACACCAAGCATCATAATTTATGTGCACTTGTCTTGCTTGTTTTGCAATATATGGCTGACCTGAGTGACAATTTCATTAAGGTTGGTGGTTTATCACAAGTACAACATGTGTCAAGTTTTTTTAATGAACTTGTACATAGCAATCCTCAACAAAGCCCTTCTACGGTATTCCCTGAGAACTGTCTCAGCATTGCATCCTTTGGTGTAATAACGTTTGACTAGTTTACTTCTGCACCCTTATCTGTTTCCTGGTGGTTGAATTATCTGCACTTTCTTTACAATCACCCTCAATATTGTAAATCTATCTCTATTGTACAGTCAAATGTTGTTGTGTATTGCAAGACCTTTCTGTTTGTTAACACTTTATTTGGGGAATTTGGAGTAAATTAAAGAGCTCAAAATTTTCAGACATATAGATAGTTGTCAACTTACACTTTTGTAGTCCATGATGCTAGGAATGTTTTTTTTTATAACATATTTTTGTGAGGAATGAGTTTTGATTATTAAACCTGAATGGCTCAGAAGTTAACTGAATTTTTGTATTTCAGGTTTAAAGTTCAGTCAAGTGTGAGATGAGGAGTGGCCAAATTTAGAGTGTGAAAGCAGACAATTTGTTCTTGCTGAATTAATACATTATAATGTTCAAGTAAATATGATTGCTGGCTTTTGATCCACTACTTGCTAGAATTGTTAAAGAAACACTTTAACTTACAGATTATGTACAAGTAAATATGATAGCTGGCTATTCATCCACTGTTTGCTAGAATTGTTAAAGAAACACTTTAACTTACAGATTATGTACAAGTAAATATGATAGCTGGCTATTCATCCACTGTTTGCTAGAATTGTTAAAGAAAAACTTTAACTTACAGATTATGTACAAGTAAATATGATAGCTGGCTATTCATCCACTGTTTGCTAGAATTGTTAAAGAAAAACTTTAACTTACAGATTATGTACAAGTAAATATGATAGCTGGCTATTCATCCACTACATGCTAGAATTGTTAAAGAAACACTTTAACTTACAGACTGTTCTTCAAGTACAACACATGACATGATAAGGTTAAAAAGAATGTTTTAATTATACAATCAGCTTTAGAAGTCTTGAATGTTTGATTCCTCTATTTTAAAATAACATGAAATGCTGGATTGTTTTCTCTTCCTGCTTCAGTTTTGTTACATCTGAGTTTGTGTGGAGTTTGAACCGGTGGCTACTGTTGCAGTCCCAGACTATGTGTAATATACTCAAAGCTTATTTTAAAGAGTGGTATGTTTTGTGACTGTTACATATGTTTGTTTTTTTCAGTCCTTTCTGTTTGCTTTTGTTGTATAAAAAAAAAGATTAGTTTTATAAGCTAGTTAAGACTTTTTTTTATTTTTTATATTAGCCATGGAATCAGCGTATATATTAGATCATATACAGATAATATAGAGAGAAATAAAGGGAAGGGTGTGTTACATATTTCCTAACGGACAAGGTGCATGATGTATTAATAACTGTAGAAGCTGGAAGATTTTTTAACCTTTAAAATTAATTTGTACAATTTATCTTGTCATTCATGTCACAAAGTAGAAACAAATTGAGTTTTGCATAAGCTCTAACTTTTTGTCTGCTTCCATCCTTTCTTATAATATATATAGATCAAAATTATAGATATTGCACACGTTATGATATATATAGATCAAAATTACAGATATTGCATACATTATTATGAAACATAGATCAAAATTACGGATATTGCATACATTATTATGATATATAGATCAAAATTACAGATATTGCATACATTATTAGGATACGTAGATCAAAATTAAAGATATTGCATACATTATTATGAGATTAGATCAAAATTACAGATATTGCATACATTATTATGGTACATGTAATTTTGATCTTCTGTAATTTTGATCTATGTATCCTAATAATGTATGCAATATCTTATTGTATACATTATTATGATATATAGATCAAAATTACAGATATTGCATACATTATTATGATATATAGATCAAAATTAGAAATACAATAAACTATCTCATGTAATTAACTCAATGAGATCAATGGTTCTTTCAGAAATTATATACAAAATCTAAATTTCTTTAAGGTGCCAGTTTTTTGCCACCATTTTTTTGTTCATTTGTAGATATGCTGAGTTTTTATAGTTGTGTGTGATTTTACAAATTATAAATATTAGATTCTGATAAGTTTGAGGTATTGTACATGTATTATTATGAGTAAAACTGGATTAATACATTTACACGAATGACTTTGAAAGTAACCTAGTTGGGTGTAAAGAAATGTTCTAATTATCTTCTAAGAATATAGCTTTGTTTGATACGAGCACCAGAAAAATCTGCTTTGGTTTTTTTAATTACCTACTCGGGCAGAATAAAGTTAACAGGAGGATTGTTAATGTACATTTTAAAGAGTGTGTGTAAAATAATTAAGTAGCTGTACAATGTTGTTAGGTTACAATCTCAGTTTTTATAATTATTTTACAATTTGATTTGTAACATACAACTCTATTTTTTTGTTTGCACATTTTAAATTTTCTTTTCAGCAGGAAAGAAAGATAGTTAACTTTCTTCCTATTATATCAAAGATTTTGAAACTGAATTAAAAATTATTTTATGATTTTTGAAATTTGTTGAACTGAGAGTGAAAGCAATTTAAAAAAAGAAAGAAGTTAAGAATCAGTTTTACATGAATAAATTTAAAAGATATGAAATCTAAAGTTTGTTACAAATCAATTCTATAAAAACTGTGAATTTATTTATATATGAGCTATAATTTTGCTTCTTAAGTGAGTTTAAAGTTATTTTAAATGACCCTCATTGATGTTTCGTTATTAACATATTTCTGTTTGGCATTATCAAAACAGACTTTAGCTTTTTAATTTTCCCGCATTGTGATTTGATATTCATCATTGGTCTATCAAAAAGGGAGTGGCTTACTTTGACTTGTATATCATGAATATATATTCTTTCTCTGATATCAGTAAATTCTCAAAGATATGCTAATAACAATTAATGGTTATTAACACTTAACCACATTGTTGCTTTTAACTTACGTAAAACCTGAAATGACCTCTTGTAACTTTTCTATCGCGAAAGTTTAACAGAGCTACGAGCAGACTAATATAATTGGTTATTTTCTTGTTATATTATATGCCCTACATTATTACTACATAATCAGAGAGATATTTGCACATCAAAAAGTTAATTTTCTGTGAAATGTCAGAAGATATTTATTTTACGAGTACTTGGAACTAAGCTTTATAGTTTGTATGATGTAGAAAATTTATCTGTATTAATAAAAGTTTCTTTACAAATAGTAGTGGTTCATCTTGTTAATTAAGTAGTCTTTTGAAAAACCATCAGTTACTGTATTTTTCTTCTTCACTTTGCCATTCTGATAATCAAAACTACAGATAAGGCTCAAGAAATAAAAGTTTAATACAAGCTGTCTGCTACCTGTTTTGACTCCATTGATCCATAGCCTAAAATGACCACCAGTATTGTAGCTCCATTTGTCAGATACTGTGAACAACTTACTGTCCATCAGTTCTTCAGATATAAATACTGTGAACAAGTAAATGTCAATAAGTATTGTGGTATTCCTTCTTCAGTTATAATATACAAATACTGTGAACAACTTACTGTCCATCAATTCTTCAGTTATAATACATAAATACCATGAACAAGTAAATGTCCATCAGTATTGTGGTATCCCTTCTTCAGATATATATATATAACGTGAACAAGTAAATGTCCATCAGTTCTTCAGATATAATACATAAATACTGTGAACAATTTCCTGTCCATCAGTTCTTCAGATATAATACATAAATACTGTGAACAATTTCCTGTCCATCAGTTCTTCAGATATAATACATAAATACTATGAACAAATAAATGTCCATAAGTATTGTGGTATCCCTTCTTCAGATATACAAATACTGTGAACAAATAAATGTCCATCAGTTCTTCAGATATAATACATAAATACTGTGAACAAATAAATGTCCATAAGTATTGTGGTATCCCTTCTTCAGATATACAAATACTGTGAACAATTTACTGTCCATCAGTTCTTCAGATATAATACATAAATACTATGAACAAATAAATGTCCATCAGTTCTTCAGATATGATACATAAATACTGTGAACAAATAAATGTCCATAAGTATTGTGGTATCCCTTCTTCAGATATACAAATACTGTGAACAAATAAATGTCCATCAGTTCTTCAGATATAATACATAAATACTGTGAACAAATAAATGTCCATCAGTATTGTGGTATCCCTTCTTCAGATATAAACTACCAATACAGTAAATGTCCATCAGTATTGTGGTACCCCTTCTTTGGATATATTATATAAATACAGTAAGCACATAAGTGAAGGATATGTTACATATTGCATACTTTTTCCAGAACTTATATGTGCAGATGTTCAATTTGGTATGGAGTGTTATCACTATAAGCAGCGATATGATATGCTGTTTATGAACTTATCTCGTTAAAATGTGGGGTTCAATTCCCTGTGGTAGACAGAACAGGTAGCCCAGTGCTCTAAACAACAATCCATTTAATATAGTATGAGGTGTTATCATTATAAGCAGTAATATGATGAAGACTTCCTATAGAATGTGACATAACTATTTCCTGAGAACAAGTATATATAAGTGCTGGCCAGTGTGGAATGTTTACACATTGTCTTGAATTTATTTTCAGCAGGGTTTGGAGGTTTAAGTACACATTATCTTAAAGCAGAGTTTGAAGGTTTAAGTACACATTATCTTAAAGCAGGGTTTGGAGGTTTTAGTACATATTGTCATAAACGTTTTACAGGTTTAAGTACACATTATCATAAACGTTTTACAGGTTTAAGTACACATTGTCATAAAACAGGTTTAACTACACATTATCATAAAGCAGGTTTTTGAGATTGAAGTACACATTGTCTTAATGCTGTTTCAGAGGTTTTAATATACATTGTCGTAAAGCAAGTTGCTATAGGTTTAAGGTTGTTATCGTGTATGTGATATCCACAGTATTTAAGAATTTCATTCACTTATCTAGCACTCTGTGAGATAGAAGTTTGAAGTTCTGGCCATCAGTGCTGATAACAAAGATTTCGTGGCTTCCTCTACACAGGAAGATGAAGAGTTATCCATCTAAAATTTAAACTGAAATTCCTCATTGGCCAGTACAAGCTTCCAATGGTTTATAGCCCATTTATACATTCTATTCCGGTCCAGCCTCTGGTTGACTTGCAAACTACTTTGAATATAGATAATATTGATCTAAACAATTCCTGAATGTTTGGATTGATACATATTGTTACGTATCTGCTTGTTTGATAATTTCCCGTAAATATTATTTCCGAGAAACTTCAGCGATACAAGTCCTTTCTTAATTAAAACTAGTTTATTCTTTCTCGTTACAAACTTTGTAGTACTTAATTTCCACAGTCACTTTAAACTTAACTACTGTTATAAACACACGCTATAGTTCACAGCGATTCACACACATTACTTACGGTGCCTACTGTTCGCTTGAC